ACCTTCTCGGTGATGGACAATTACTTGAAGAGTGTTTCGTTCCTAGGCAATTCAGGCACAATTGTTTGCGCTTGACAAGTACAAAGCGGTCCATTGGATCTAATGCCATGAATTTAGAACAATTGAACGCATTGTGGCTGATTTGCTCGTCACACAATAAGCATTTGTCCGCATGCGTTGACAACAAACTGGATTGCGGTTTCAGAGTACGATGACGTCTGGGAGGCGATGAGGGAATGTTTTTTGTCGAAGCGATGCTGGCCTCCATAATGTTAAAGCTTTGGCAGCGGCGCTCCAGAAAGCTGGCCAAATCATCCCACGAAGGCAGTTTAAGTGGCGAGGTGCTCGTATTAGTCCACTTTGTGGCCACCTCGTCCTCCCACTTTGTTCTAGTCGACTCATCGAGTTTGGAGGTAAGCAGATGGAGGATAATGCCATCAGAAATTTGAGATTTTGATGTTAAAGATTCCATTGCGCGTAGACTTCCGTTTACCATATCGATGAATTCACGAAGTGTAGTTGCAGACGGCTTCATGACACGCTGAATTTCGAAAACTCTTTTTAGGTGCGACTGGAAAATTAGTCTTTTATTGTCATATCGTGCACTGAGTAGCTCAACAGCCTTGCGATAGTTGACCGCGGTGACTTCTAGTGCTTGTACAAGTCGCGCAGCGCTATCGGTTAGGCATGATCGAAGATATTGAAACTTTTCGATATCTGATAGCTCGTTGTTTGTGTGGACTAAGACCGAAAACATGTCATAAAAGTCAAGCCAATCTGCATGATGCCCAGAGAATTTCGGAAGCTGTAATTTCGGAAGGTGAAATCTTGAATGAGTTGACGACGAAACAATGCGCGTACTGCTTAAGGTGTCAGGTTCAATTGCACGTAGATGAGCGAGCCTCTCCATGATGGCAGATTTTAATACGAGATAGGCAGCTTCAAATTTGGCGCGATGCGTTCCTTCCAATTCGGACTCATCAAGCTCTTCCAGTTGAGATTGAATCGCCTCAAAGCTATCCAGATAGCGTTGCAAAATCTCAAGCTTGACCTTCAGCATCGACTCGGTCATGGTATTAAGTTCAGCTAGGCTAGCACGGGAACTTTCTAGACGCTGCAGCACTAATTCTCGCTGGCGAACTTTAGTACGAATATTTCCCGACGAAGTGGTTGGTGGAGGTGTTACTTCGCCATCAAAGGATAGAAAATCCACGTTGCCAAACATTTTATGCGAATTCCAAGTTTATTCAATGTTAAGCCGAAATGATCCGGCTCGAAGGACCTTCTCATGTAGCACAAAGCGTTTTTTATGCTATTTATTTCTAAGTCTCGATTTAATGTAGCCTTCAAACTTTATTTAATAATGCGCAATGATGATGTGAATACATTAAGTGGTGAACTGTAACTGTTTTACTGGAAAATGGTTTTGATGTCAAGAAGGTACAAAAAAGTATGTTTTTAACACTACAGTTAATTGCTAGCGAAACGAGATCAGTTATGCTGGGTGGTTGTTGTTGCGCCAGGTGGCGTGATGTTGGTCTTGATTTTCTATTGGATCCGTCGATGATTAGTTGGTGGGTATATGTACATATGTGTATGCGAATGAGTGTGTCTGCGATGAGTGACTTCAATGAAGTTGAGTGGGTGAGATTGCTTGCGAGTGGAATCTTGGCTGGAACAACGAAAACGATGCACGATGTGTACGATGAATGAGTGGAGAGTGTGGCGATGATAAAGGGTGTCGAGATTGGGATCAGAGTTCATGCTTGAACATCCTCCCCCCTTGAACGCATTGCGTTCAATACTTTATCCATGTGGAGCCGTTGATTCTATTGGCAGCTTGCAGACCTTAGTTACTGCTCGCTTATGAATGCCCTCAGCTGTTTTTATTAACACAATACGAACCATTCCGTCATCTCCGGAAACAGTTCGGACAATACGCCCCATTGGCCATTTCAGTGGTGGGGTATTTTCATCTCTTATGAGTACCAAATCGTTAGGTTTCAAGTTTTCTCGCGGCGTTCGCCATTTCTGTCGTCTTTGCAGCTCCTTCAAATACTCTGCTTGCCATCGGACCCAGAACTGCTGTTGAATCGCTTGAACTATTTGAAACCTTTTTAGCTTACCCATATGAACATGTTCCAGAGATGGTTCCGGGATGGTTGTTAAACTCCTACCAATTAAGAAATGTGCCGGAGTTAAGGCGCGAAGATCATCCGGATTGCTTGACAATGGAGTAAGAGGTCGGCTATTGATCATAGCTTCGACTTGGCAGCACACGGTATGCAGCTCATCAAAGTTTAAAATGTTTGTTCCCACGGTACGACGTAGATAGAATTTGGCTTGTTTAACCGCGCTTTCCCAGAGCCCACCAAAGTGGGGCGATCGAGGCGGAATAAATTTCCATACTATCCCTTCTTCGGCCATAAAGCTATTTACTGCTGTGATGTGTTGCTGCGAGTTAAATGATGCCAGCATTTCTTTTAGTTCACGATTGGCACCTACAAAATTTGTTGCGTTATCCGAAAAAATTGTGTGGCATATACCGCGACGCGCTATGAACCGCTTGAGGGCCGCTATGAAACCCATCGTTGTCAAATCAGGAACCAGCTCTAAATGCACTGCTTTCGTGGTGAAGCAAATAAACACAGAAAGATACACCTTGATCGGAGCCCTTCCTCGTATTTGCTGTGTAATCAAGAACGGCCCACAGTAGTCGATTCCGGTTACCGCAAATGGGTGAGAAGGCTCAACTCTCTCGCGAGGCAGTGATCCCATAATTTGCTCTTGAAGAAGTGGCTTGTTGCGGTAACACATCAGGCACCGATGAATTACTTGCTTTATTATGCTTCGAGCGTTGACTATCCAAAACTTGTCACGTATAATGCTAAGCAGCGTTTGGCATCCAGCTTGCGAATGGCGGCGATGTAAGTGCTCAATCAAAGTGCGGACGAAGGGGTGTGACTTCGGTAACAAAATGGGATGCTTGGTGTCGAATGGCAGTGACGCATTTGAGAGTCTGCCCCCAACACGAATTATGCTGTTATGGAGGAAAGGCGAAAGTTGATTTAAGGTTGGATTGGTTGCCTACCTTGCCTTTCTGCAACGCCTTGTATTCGGCAGTGAAGGATTTTTGCTGAATATAACGAAGAATCAATAGCAGAGTGTCGTCTAGTTCAGGTGCTGTTATTGTACCACACTCGGTTGGTATATTTCGAAGTTTGTCGATGAAGCGTTTAGCGTAAGCGAAAACGCGCAGGAGTTTAAGATAATTGTTGGCAAATTTGTGTTCCTCGATGATGTCTTCTGATGGAGATACCACAAGAGTATGCACTTGTTTGCGTTGCTCTGGTACATCTACGACGATATTATTGGAGATGGACGGCCAGTGGTATTCTTGGATGTGGATGACTTGGGGACCGTGAAACCACAGATTATTTCCAATGAGATCCCGCACCTTCGCTCCCCGCGATACTAAATCAGCAGGGTTTTCGCTTGATGATACATGATGCCAGGTGTAGTCAGCTGTGAGCTGTTGAATCTTAGCTACCCTATTTCCCACAAATGTTGTCCAACGTGAAGGCTCGCCTTGTATCCACGACAATGCGATCGTGGAGTCTGACCAGCAGTGCACGTTTCGTCGATTGACAGCGAGTATTGATACTACCGATTCTAACAATTCTGCCAGCAGAAGCGCAGCACACAATTCTAATCTGGGGAGAGTGACTGTTTTTGTTGGTGCCACTCTTGACTTTGCAGTGATGAGCGAGGTATGTGCGCTACCGTCAGTATGAGAAACCGCGTAAACACATGCTCCGTAAGCCTTCATGCTCGCATCTGCAAAGGCATGTAGTTTAGTATTGGAATCAATGCATACGAATCTTGGAACGTGAATCTTGTCGATGTCGGTAAGTTGGCGACATATGTATGTCGTCCCATTGTGTGTGGATGGTGAGTGGTACGCTTTCGTCCCAAGCGAGGCGTAGTTTCCACAGTTCTTGCATTATTATTTTGCAGGTGACGACGATTGGATTTATCAACCCGAGTGGGTCAAAGAAACTAGCTATTTGCGATAGAATGGTGCGTTTACTGGCTTTTGGTATGCGTTGTTGCGATGGTGCGTATGAGAAGAAGAAGTAGTCATTAGCAGGCGACCACTTCAGACCAAGCGTTTTTATGTAGTCGACATCACCACCTATTACTGCTTCTTTGTCTGGCTCAGAAATGTCATCGATGATGCGGTTGTGGTTTGATGCAAATTTTCGAAGAGGAAATCCTCCTTTAGCAAGCAAATCTATGACGTCCCTTTTAATTTTAATGACATCCTCAATGGTGTTGCTACCTGTCATGAGATTGTCGACATAAAAATCTCGTAGAGTGACAGCAGCTCCAATGGGGTGGTTGGACATGTTATCGTACGCCAGTTGCTGCAAACATCTTACGGCTAAAAAAGGAGCGCAACTGGTTCCGTATGTCACTGTTCGTAGTTGATAAGTCTTGAGTGGTTCACTTGGCGAATCTCGCCATAATATGCACTGCCATTTGGCATCTCGCTCATCGACCAGAATCTGCCGGTACATTTTCGTTATATCGGCCATAAGCACATAGCTATGAGTTCGAAAACGAAGAAGTACAGTGAAAATGGTGTCCTGTAGAGTTGGACCGACGCGAAGAATTTGGTTGAGTGCGATACCATTCGATGTGCGGCAGGAAGCATCAAACACAACCCGTAATTTTGTGGTCGAACTATCTTCCTTTGTAACGCAATGATGTGGAATATATGTGCCTATGCTTGCCGAAGAGTTTGTTGGTGTAATCTCAATCATATGGTTTAAATCTATATATTCATGAATAAATTTCTTATATTCTGCTCCAACTGGGTCGTTTATTAGCATTCTTTTCTCTACTGCCAAAAACCGTCGACGGGCAATGTCAAATGAATGCCCTAATTTACTTGGGTTACTTGAAAATGGAAGGCGAACAATGAACTTATTCGTGACTGGACACCGCATTGTTGTTTGTGTGAAATAGTTCTCGCACTCTCTTTCATCAGCCTTACGCCTTGTTGTTTCTGGATGATAGTCATCTTCTAATTTCCAAAATTTTTCCAACAGCGACTCCAATGCAGGCTGCGGCTGTATAGTCACATTGCTGAGCTCTGGTGAGGGCGACGACACAAGCAGCGAAGTTGAGCAAGGCAGCGCCGGCAACGAGAGCAGCGACGTCGGATACGAAGACGGTGGCGAAAGTGTTATTGCTCCAGCGACGATCCAACCCAGCTGTGTTTTTTGCAGTGTCGGTAAACACTCACTGAGTTTTATTTGGCCTACCGAAAGTATGTCGAAGAACAGGCTGGCCCTAATTAGGATATCAATAGGTCCCGGTTGATTAAATGTGGCGTCAGCCAGGTTGATGTTGGTAGGGATTCCCCATTTCGTACTATTTAGGCGATGTTGAGGCTGCTTGGAGGAAATTGACGGCAATATAACAGCTTCCAAAACTGACGAAAAACCGGAATGCAACGAAGATACACCAACTAAACTAATTTGCTGCGATGTGGTAGTGACTGCTCCAATTCCACTTATTTCCACGTTTGTTTTACTGCGCCTGACCTTAAGCAACTGCGCTATGCGTTCCGTGATGAAATTCAGTTGGGAAGCTGAATCGAGGAGTGCGCGAGCTGTTATGGTCACGTCGTTCCTGTTATCTAGGTGCACAAGCGCCGTTGCGAGGATGACCTCACTACGTATATCGTGTACATGTAGTGCGAATGGAAGCGAAGAAGTACCCTTGTTGGCTTCTCGACCTTGAGGAGCTTGAGGTGGGTGACGGTGTAACAGCGTATGGTGGCTTACCCGGCAATGCTGGCACCTTCTCGGTGATGGACAATTACTTGAAGAGTGTTTCGTTCCTAGGCAATTCAGGCACAATTGTTTGCGCTTGACAAGTACAAAGCGGTCCATTGGATCTAATGCCATGAATTTAGAACAATTGAACGCATTGTGGCTGATTTGCTCGTCACACAATAAGCATTTGTCCGCATGCGTTGACAACAAACTGGATTGCGGTTTCAGAGTACGATGACGTCTGGGAGGCGATGAGGGAATGTTTTTTGTCGAAGCGATGCTGGCCTCCATAATGTTAAAGCTTTGGCAGCGGCGCTCCAGAAAGCTGGCCAAATCATCCCACGAAGGCAGTTTAAGTGGCGAGGTGCTCGTATTAGTCCACTTTGTGGCCACCTCGTCCTCCCACTTTGTTCTAGTCGACTCATCGAGTTTGGAGGTAAGCAGATGGAGGATAATGCCATCAGAAATTTGAGATTTTGATGTTAAAGATTCCATTGCGCGTAGACTTCCGTTTACCATATCGATGAATTCACGAAGTGTAGTTGCAGACGGCTTCATGACACGCTGAATTTCGAAAACTCTTTTTAGGTGCGACTGGAAAATTAGTCTTTTATTGTCATATCGTGCACTGAGTAGCTCAACAGCCTTGCGATAGTTGACCGCGGTGACTTCTAGTGCTTGTACAAGTCGCGCAGCGCTATCGGTTAGGCATGATCGAAGATATTGAAACTTTTCGATATCTGATAGCTCGTTGTTTGTGTGGACTAAGACCGAAAACATGTCATAAAAGTCAAGCCAATCTGCATGATGCCCAGAGAATTTCGGAAGCTGTAATTTCGGAAGGTGAAATCTTGAATGAGTTGACGACGAAACAATGCGCGTACTGCTTAAGGTGTCAGGTTCAATTGCACGTAGATGAGCGAGCCTCTCCATGATGGCAGATTTTAATACGAGATAGGCAGCTTCAAATTTGGCGCGATGCGTTCCTTCCAATTCGGACTCATCAAGCTCTTCCAGTTGAGATTGAATCGCCTCAAAGCTATCCAGATAGCGTTGCAAAATCTCAAGCTTGACCTTCAGCATCGACTCGGTCATGGTATTAAGTTCAGCTAGGCTAGCACGGGAACTTTCTAGACGCTGCAGCACTAATTCTCGCTGGCGAACTTTAGTACGAATATTTCCCGACGAAGTGGTTGGTGGAGGTGTTACTTCGCCATCAAAGGATAGAAAATCCACGTTGCCAAACATTTTATGCGAATTCCAAGTTTATTCAATGTTAAGCCGAAATGATCCGGCTCGAAGGACCTTCTCATGTAGCACAAAGCGTTTTTTATGCTATTTATTTCTAAGTCTCGATTTAATGTAGCCTTCAAACTTTATTTAATAATGCGCAATGATGATGTGAATACATTAAGTGGTGAACTGTAACTGTTTTACTGGAAAATGGTTTTGATGTCAAGAAGGTACAAAAAAGTATGTTTTTAACACTACAGTTAATTGCTAGCGAAACGAGATCAGTTATGCTGGGTGGTTGTTGTTGCGCCAGGTGGCGTGATGTTGGTCTTGATTTTCTATTGGATCCGTCGATGATTAGTTGGTGGGTATATGTACATATGTGTATGCGAATGAGTGTGTCTGCGATGAGTGACTTCAATGAAGTTGAGTGGGTGAGATTGCTTGCGAGTGGAATCTTGGCTGGAACAACGAAAACGATGCACGATGTGTACGATGAATGAGTGGAGAGTGTGGCGATGATAAAGGGTGTCGAGATTGGGATCAGAGTTCATGCTTGAACACCTATATTGCAATATTTCATTTATTTTGTCGATGTACTTTAGTTAAATTTTCAATCAGGAGACAACCCTCTTCAAACATATTTTCGGCTGTAAGCCTTCTTAAAACTCTTTAGTTTGATACCCACATTGCAATATTTCAGTTACTTTATCAATTTAACTGAGTTAAAAATTTTAAAATAGGCGGCAACCCTCCTCAAAAACATTTCCAGCAGTTACCTTTATTAAAGCTCTTAAATTTAATATCTATATTGTAATATATAATTTAGTTTATCAATTAAATTGCGCTAAATTTTTTAACAGGTGGCAACCCTCGTTTAAAATATTTTCGACTGTAAGCCTTCTTAAAACTTTTTAGTTTGATACCCACATAGCAATATTTCATTTTCTTTAACAATTTAACTGAGTTAAATATTCAAAATTGGTGGCAGCCCTTCTCAAAAATATTTCCAGCAGTTATCTTTCTTAAACCTCTTTAATTTGATACCCATATTACAATATTTCATTTATTTTATCGATGTACTTTAGTTAAATTGTCAATCAGGTAGCAACCCTCTTCAAACATATTTTCGGCTGTAAGCCTTCTTAAAACTCTTTAGTTTGACACCCACCTGGCAATATGTTATTTATTTTATCAATTTGACTGAGTTAAAATTTTCAAATAGATGGTAACCCTCGTCAAAAATACTTCCAGCAGTTATCTTTCTTAAACCTCTTTAATTTGATACCCATATTGTAATATATCATTTATTTTATCGATGTACTTTAGTTAAATTTTCAAACAGGTGGCAAACCTCTCCAAACATATTTGCAGCTGTAAGCCTTCTTTAGTTTGACACCCACATGGCAATATTCCATTTATTTTATCAATTTGACCGAGTTAAAATTTTCAAATAGGTGGCAACCCTCATCAAAAAGATCTCCAACAGTTATCTTTGTTAAACCTCTTTAATTTGATACCTATATTGTAATAACTTATTTCTTTTATCAATATAGTTGGGTTTAGAAATTTTCAAATAGGTTGCAACTCTCCAATTTTTTTACGATATCATTGGTTCTGGTATTATACCGATCACTACAAAAAGAAAATTATTCAAATCGGATCAGCCGTTCTCGAGTTTTGACGACCGTGGCATACGAACACAACAATCTATATTAATATAGATTATTATAATTTTGCTCAGAATTGATACTAACAACAATCCCTTGAAAAAAGTAACAGTATTATAGAATTTCGGAAAGTGGGCCCACATTCAACTATATAAGTTTAAGTATAACTGAACATACTATCGAAATTGTTAGAAATAGGGTTAAAACCACTTTTCTTACACAGTTTTCCGAAAGGTGAAAAACTATATTTAATACTTGGGCCGAGTATTTAATGCTCGGCTCCCCCCGAACTAAGACCTTTTACTTGTTTTAGTATCATTTGATACTAAAGAAATTCATATACCTGACCCAAGGTTTGTTCTATGGTAATTAAGTAACATTTTTGATTGCGATAACTTTCAATAGGTGGCTTTGCTCGTTTAGACATTTCAGCTTTAAAGCTATTTAAGTCCTCTTTCATTTGATACCAAACTTGTCTAATTTTGATAAGCGGGTTGTTTATTATCCGGAAAGGACTTTTATTTCGGAATAAAAAATATTTGGCCAAGTTTAACTCGTAAAAAATATAAATGTCATTTTCGGTCCCTTCAATATTCGCATTCGCAAAAGATCCGCATTGATTGTTGTGAATGCGAAAGGGAATGCGAATGTTAAAAATAATGCGAAAGTTCCGCGGTTGCGAATGCGAATGCGAATATTCGCAACAACCCTGATATGTTTGTATGTACCTATGTGCGGTAAGACTTTTTGCAACCCGAAAATTGTCTGATCAATTACGAAGAAAATTAGTGCATGTAGCAGAAGATATTTAACGCTTCAAGCACAGTTACCTACAGTTATATTCTGAGTTTAATTCCAAACCATGTGATGTATATGTATATGTGTGTAGCGATTAGTTTTTGATTGAAATGCGAACGAAATAATTTATACCAAGGCTTAATTTATTCACTGTTTATTCTTAGAGAATGCAAAACACTGAACGTATCAGCAGTGGATATGAAAACTTATTAAAATGTAAATATTAATTAAATGTAAATTGGGATATTAAGAACTTTGAATCATAATGTACAACAAGCGAAGACATTTACACATTTGTTTCAAGCGTATGCAATTTTCAATAAAAGGTTGTTGAGCTACTGAACTTTAAATAAACATCTCACTTTGTATAGTTAATCAAACTCACTATACAAATATCGAACTCTAGTACCAACGAGTATCTGTAAATATTTCTCCTTGTCAGATGATTAAGTTATGTGGCTATTGAACGTGCTGTAAGTTCTTCTGCTAAGAAATAGTTATGTATACATCAGTCGTCGGCAAAACTGAAAGTGAGATTATGACCCTTATTATGAGTTGCATTCGATTTTCGATCTTCGATAACCATCGAGTGAAATTCGTATTATGAGCCATGCAACCGTGTCGAAATTTTCGTAGAGTATCGAATCTTCTGTCGAACAGAATTTTGCTTTCGATGGTGTAGTGAATTNGCCCTTATTATCGAATCTTCTGTCGAACAGAATTTTGCTTTCGATGGTGTAGTGAATTGTTAGAAAATTGTGAAAAATGTGTAATTTTGCATTTTTCTCCTTACTTTTTGGCCGCTAGTCACTAATTTTAAACCATTTTTATTAATTTCATGCAGTTTAAACGTCGTGAATACAAAACACAAACTCGAAAGACTGGTTTTAACTACTTGTGAAAGAAAATCCCAACACTCAGTGGGCACGATCTCTGAGAACCAAATCGTAGAGCTGTTGACAGTTTTAAAATATTTTAAATAGATTTGGCTCACAAAGGTCTCTTAGACAGTCGGAAGTTTTTAATAAATCTGTAGCCAAATTTCTTAAATATATTGTATGTCAAAATATATTCGAATGGCTACACTTAAACTCTCTTAAACATTTTCTACTCCTGGACAGTTTACTAACCTCTCATCCTCTGTTGACGAATCGTTGAACCAGATCTCCGATGGACTCATTTTTATAAACTCGCTTTCTTTTTTAATTCATTATAATTTCCACAAATTTACATGCATATGTATAAGCACACTAGCTATTTGTAAAAAAAGCTTTTCAGCGGTAAAAACTATACGATTGTGAACAACTTAAACGAGCGAAATTCACAATAGCACTATTCCTTATCGAATGAGCGCCATAATACGTATTTGGTGCCAAATGAAAATTCGTTCGATCTGCACTTTCGACCACAGTCGAAGATCGAATGTAACTCATAATAGGGGCCTGTGTTTGTTAGCGCAGAGCAATTTGAGCTACAGTGGTGTAAAAGCGAATCGTATGGTGTAAAGGTAACGAATGAAGGAATGCTTGTGAGAATGACAAATTTTCCTTGACAAAAGTAAAAAGTATTGTATGCATGTACATTAGAATTTTCCGAGTTAGGGTTGGGGCACCTTCCAAAATTTTTCTTCTTGCCGAAAGAGGTGCTGGCACCAAACCATACGTTTCTAAGTATAAATTTAGAGGATGCTCATGAAATTTTTATATTTTACTCTAGAAGTGTATTGTCCACATACATATGTATTAACCAAACAATAAGTTAAGCAACCTAAGACCATTTCAAATTTAAATTAGCGGGAAAACTTATTACAAGCTTCAATTGTCATGGCAACACTAGGTTTTTATAAAAATGATCAATATTTTAGTCAGCCTCAAAGGGATTCAGAAGCGCATTTCAAGGTCATTGAGTACGCTTTATTGCTTACAGTAGAAAATTGAAAGTTGGTATAGATTTCCAAACACCAAAAGGAAAAAACTAAGGGAGTGCCCTTCTCCTACGATGATATTTTTCCCAGAGGTGACATTTTGTATCATAACTTTTATAATAAAAGTCCTTAGAAAAAGAAGATTTGAAATAAAATAATCGGTCAACCCGGACCTTTATATTTTTAGACCAGTAATAACTGTTAAACGTGGCCAAATATTTTTTAAGTCCGAAATAAAAGTCCTTTCCTTATAATAAAAAAACGCTTATCCAAATCAAATAAATTTTGTAACAAATGAAAGAGGACTTAAATAGCTTTCAAACAGAAATATTTCAACGAAGATATCCACCTTTTTATATTTTTTTATGATCTGTATATTTAATAAGCGTAGCAATTTTTTTCCTAGGTCATCAGATCTGCACCGTTCGTTCGCTTTTCAAAACTGAGGTGTCAAACTAACGGGCTGGGCCTGTAGATGTGCAATAGGGTTTTATTTTTTCGAAGAGAGTTGCCACCTGTTAAAAAATTAAATTCAAATTATTTAATAATCAATGCTACTTGATCGCACCGTTCGTTCGATTTTGAAAAATGAGGTGTAAGATTAAAGGGCTTGGGCTGTAGAT